CGGCGGCGGCGGCGGCGGCAGCAGAAACGGCGACGGAGAAGTGTCCCCCGCTTCCCCCCGCCGCCCCTCGCCGCCTAAGGGTTAACGAGCGGGATAGGCGCGCTCACCTGTCTCGGTAGTAGGTGGCCCAACTCTTTCCACCCAAGCACTCCAGCTCTGCCCCGCGAAGTCATCGAGATTCGGCAGCCGCCGATCCACAGCAGCCATTGCTACTGCTGCTACTACCGCCGCGCGTCCACGCACCGCCATCACCGTACGAGAACGCGCAGCCCTCCCCGCTGGCGGCACCAGCTTGCGCATGTGCGCCTTGCTCCTTGTACGACGGGAAATGTAGTTCCCAAGCTGATGGCGCCTTTCCTCTGCGCATGCCAAGAAAAGCGATGGAAACAAGAGGGACGTGTTCGTTCCATCCTTTCTACAGTCCACCATCCCCGGCCTATAATTTGAGCGACTCCCGTATTTGCGAAGAAAAGATCCTAAGTTTATGACTTTTTCATCCGTGCAGTGGGAATCTTACTCTAACAAATAAATGCATGACTAGGCTCAAGTCTAAGGTGTATGAGAGCTAGGATCTTGACACAGTAACTTCATCTCCAGGGTGGAAAGAAACACGTGTCGTCCATTCGTCTGACCTGACCTGAGTCTGCTGCAAACCAACTTGCAGCAATATGAAGGACAGGGAAAACTCTCTTCTCTTTCCTCATCTCTTGTATAATTTTTTATCAATGCCATTTTTCCTTCTAAAGCAAGGTCAGAATATGATACATCTTTTCCTCCTGAAATAGCATGACAATCTACTGGCCATTTTTATTGTCCTGTGTGATTCCTTTTCTAGCACAAAGGTATCCTTTTTGAGATGGAGCAACTAAGAGCTGTTCCCCGCATTCCAAAACAGAATATAATAGTCAGCTCCTGTATTGTCAATAGTCCCTTCTCTTATCATTCCATATAGAGATTATCTTGTTTTGTTGTCACACTGAGCCATGCTACCACAACCCCAAAATTTCATTCAGATTAAGTCACTGCGATTTCCAATTTTATCAGTATATGCCAAGTTACAAATTTATGCTTTTCACTTAATTATTCTGAATCTCTTTTACCATCTTGTTACCCATTTACCCAGTCTGGAGAGAACTTTTAGGAACTAAAGTCCAATTGGGTCTGCTTTTTTACTCTCCTAAAACTATCCACCAAGTTTTTTGCTGCTCATCTCTGTTCTGGATCCTTTAGGAACAAATCAGATAATACTAGTCTTCTGATGAGAGCCAGTTTGGTGCAGTGATTACTGCACCAGGCTAGAAGCCATAAGACCATGAGCTCTAGTCCCACCTTAGGCACAAATCCAGCTGGGTGACCTTGGGCCTGTCACTCTCTCTCAGCCCTCGGAAGAAAGCAATGGCAAACCACTTCCGAAATCTTGCCAAGAAAAATGCAGGGACTTGTCCAGGCAGTCACCAGGAGTCAACACTGACTCGAAGGCACCAAAAAAAAAAAAAAAAAGTCTTCTGATAGATGGGTAGATAAAATTGTTATATGTAAATATTAATAATATTTATGTTATATAATTAACAGTTAAATGTAGTGCAGATTTCTAAATAGTCCCCCAAATGAGAGTCTCTGCAGTAGAATATTTGTTCCAATATAGAAAGAGTTAAGATTTACTGATGACTGTCTAATAGATGGAGATTCAGTATCATTCCAGCTATGGAGCATCAGTCTCTGCAGCCATGAAAATACCCAATATTCTGTTGTCTACTCATTAGACTATCCAAATTTAATTTAAAACAACATAAATATCTACAAAAACCATAAATTGCATGGAGGTTTCTTTTAATGAGAAGTGTATAAAATGTTTTAAATAAATGCAACCAATTCATCTCTTAAAACAAAATTAATATATGAAAACCTCCTTCCTCAAAGGGAGCTGCTATAGTACATGATGACACCCTAAGGACCAATATTGCATTTTGACCATTACAATACAATTATTATCTGACCCCCCCCTTTTTTCTTTAATAATTGCTTCCTTCCTGCCACTGTGAAAAAGGGACATTAAGTGAGATCTAGAACATTCTTGACGATGAACCCAAATTATCAGATTTCTCCAAAGCTGTAAATTTATGCACATTCAGCTTACAGTAAGGATAATGAATAATACAATGGGACCTTTGAACAAGCAAACATAGACTAAGCTGCAAGAAAGGTTTATTCGTATGAGAACTCTGTGCATTTCTTTATGCCAGGAGACTGAAGGTATCTACAGTATGTATAATTTCACACGCATGCAATGTTTCCATTGCAGCAAGTCCTAGCAAGCTAAATCATAATAGTGCAACCAATTATGTTGTAAGAATTTGAGAGGGGGGGGGGAAGGACAGAGAAGCAGTGAAGATGACCTCAGATCAAGGCACTTATTAACGCTTCCAACCCTAAGTACATTTCCTTTGAAGTAAGACTTGGGCATTTAAATGGAACTTATTTTAGCCTCAATTATATGGGATTGCAGCCTGAGTGTCTGCCAAGTAAGACTTGCAAGTACTGGAATCACTGTTCCTCCTCGTCCTATGTCTGGAAGAGGATGCTCTTCAGAGAAACAGCCCAAGTAGTCTATTCTTGAGAGCACTAGAGCTCAGCTGGTCTGGATCTTCTGCCACAGTGACAGAAGGCTCCCTTGGGCTTGAGAGGAATTGCAAGCTAGAAAGCCCTTGAATCCCTAGAAGCTTTTCTGTTGCTGTGCAAACATCCTCCCTCCATTTGTGGATCAATATCCCGTGTGCCAGCCAGCATCCTCCTGTCCAGCCTGTACAGTAAATTCATCCATCACTTTGCTCTTTTCCTAATGAATATTTTCTCCCTTTAAGAGCTGTTGCTAAAGTCTCCAAACGGCAATATTTCTCCTTCCGGATGTCACTCTACCTGTGGTGAGCTTTAATAACGGGGTTTGTTTCCACCTTTGCTCAGAAGAATCTCCCTCTCTGAAAGCCACCTTGCACAACCTTTATTGCACTTGTTGGAGACATAATAACACCAACACACTTCTGATACATTTCTCCTATGATATTTTCTGCTGTTATGAAACTACAGCATGAAATACTAACATTGCATTATGAAGAAGGCTTTCTGGCTTCCTTGAGAAAGGGACTGTTCTGGAGCTTCACCATCTTGTCTAATTAAAAAATTATAGTTGTATATTTTGTGTTATTCTGTTAAATTCTAAAGATACTGGAATTGGTACAAATGTTTATTTCATTTACCTGCAGTGGTGACGACTGCACAAAACTGCAGACCTCTGAAGCAGCAATGGGAGGGACACTCCTTAAGAGATACTTTCCCAGTGTCAGTCAAACATTAGGAAATAACCAACTGTTAAAACAAAACAAAAATCTATATTATAAACAAATCTACATTAACATCTGTAAGCTATCATAATACTTGCCCCACTAATGATGAACTGAAAATTCAGAAAGATAAAAGATTGGAGTTTCTTAGTTCAGGAAGAAAAAATAATTCAGGGATTTGATAGCAGTTTATAAAATGATGATGGGTAAATAAAGTAGGTGAGTAGAATGTCATTACTCTGCCCCCCCCCAATATTAAAATTCATGGTTGGTTAGTGAAATTGGGAGCTCATTTCAAACTACAGAAAGTACTTTTTCACACAGAACATAGCAAATGTTTAAGATTTGCTCCTGGCAAAAAGTGCAATGAACAGCTGTAAAAGGGGATTAAGTAGAAGAATGATATAAATTATATTGAGCAGTCTTTGCAGAAGCAGTATGCTTCTGATTATCTGTTACTGGGAATGAATTGTCACCTTTATGCACCATTCATAAGGTTCACTGAAGGCTCTGAACAGCCACTTTTGGAAAGGAACAATTGGAGCAGTTAGACCTCTAGCATCATCTGGAACCCCCTTCTGTTTTTATGCAATGCCCAGTGACCCCAACAGACTCCCCAGCACATTGGAAGGTAGGTGAGAGAGTTCCTAATTAGACTACTGTGATCTGGACTCTGAAAGGGATTATTTTGGAAAAAAGTTTGGAAAATTTAGGTGCCAGGCTTTAACTGGAGCCTGCAAGTTGGCATATATTACCCAGTGTAACTTCACTGATATCTCAGTAGGTGGCAGTACTTTGCAAACCTTCAGGACTCAGAAGCCAAGCAGGGTTGGACCCAATTACTGCTTGATTAGCAAAACACCAGGAATGCCAGGGCTGCAGACTAAATGGGAAGACATCCTGGAAGATGATGGCAAATCACTTTTTTACCATTGCCAAGAAAATGACATGGATAAGTCCATGTAATCTCAGGAACCAAGTCTGACCAGAGGCATCTTTCTTCTTTTTAACTTCCTTTACAGATTTTATTCATTTGTTATAAGGCCAAATTCAAGTCAATAGGTTTGATCTTTAAAGGCCAACTTGGATGGTCTTAAAAAAGTTAAATTGGCCTGGGTATGCTTACTGTTTGGATGGTAAACCACCCAGGAAACCCTAGGGCTATGAACTATATTGGGAAGTTTTAAAAAAATCCTGGAAAAAAGCAATGCCCAACGACTTCCATATTGTGGCTAAGAAACTACACGGATAGTAGGCACTGAGTTCAAATTGGGATCCAAATTGTTTCACAATCAACTTCCCCACTTGCCACATAGACTGGCCCAGGAACTATGACTAACCTCTTGGATCTTTCTGATCTTCTGCTGCCGCTAAATGATGGACAGCTCTTCTGGAATAGCATCTCCAGAAGTAATGGCCTGGCTCCTTGCTGCTTTCCTCTCAGCAATTATTTCAGTGAACAATTCTGAATGATGTATTCCAGTAAGGCTTTAATGATGCTGCTTCTGACCTTCTTGTTTACATATCATTCTTTATTTATTTCATTTTGCTAGTTGCAATGACTCTACATTTCTTTAATAAATAAATATTATAAATAATATAACTAAATCCAAGGATTAAAAATTCAGGACAGCTAGGGAGTTTTCTAGCTGGACAAAAGGCAATCATATATTTCTGGATAATTAGGACAGTAAATTGATCATGAATAAAACTATAGAATTCAAATATTTTTACAAAAATCCAGCCTGTAGCTGCCTTTGAAAAACAAGTTTTTCATATCCATTTTACAAAAATACATCCTTCCTACTTTTTTTATAAAGTTAAGGAAGGTGTTATAAATTGCAATCAAAATTACATTTGGAATATACTAAATGGTTTCGGGTTAATTAGAAAAAAAAGATAATAAGAGTGCAGTTCTAACTCCTTGTTGCTGATGCCTAGAGAATGATCTAGGATTTAGCTGTTTCTAGGGTGGAAATAAGAGGAGCTCCCTGCATTGGAGGGCCCTCTTGTGCCTAGGTGCTTGAAATGCACAGACACAAGGAATTTTACAGATAATCAATGCACTTTGGCTCTCCTCTTCCCCCTCCTGCTTACCATGAACCAGTGTGACTCAGCTAAGATACTGAATCTGTTACTTGTCTTCCCCAACCGGGTACCTTCCAGATAAGGTGGGAATACGCTCCCAATATTTTAAATGCTGTATGAGGGGAAAGCATATAGTCTGCAACAATGAAAAATTTCAGGAACATAAATGTACTCAGTATTTTGTGCATATATTTGTAAAGTATGCGTTATAACTTAACAAGAAGATTCTGGTAATATAAAACTTGGTGGAAATAAAACCCCCACTGTACAGATTCTATATTGTGCTTTGAGTTATTATCTTGTTAATGTAGATTACATGGTCCTGTAGTATCTGAAATGTACTGAAACTGCTATTTTCCTTTTACTAAAGAGAGCATTTTAAAATTTTATAAACAAATAAGTTATTTTTCATGACCAAAGATGTTACTATACAATGACTGAAAATAGAAACTGAAGTGCATTGGGCAATTCTTACTGGACCAAGTTGACTTAAAAGACTGGATTTGCTATTGTCATGAACTTGGAACAACAGTGGATTTTTTTCTTTGATAGGTTTTACAGTATGCAATTACAGTTATATGTGTGTGTAGACATCTTTATTTCATAATGATTAGCCAGTTCAGTTAGCTGACCAGTTGCTTTTTGTGTGAGCTATTCTGAAGCAATATAGCTTATTAAACTGAATGTGGACATTTGATCTGGAAGGCTGAGCTTAAGATCCAGTTCAGTTATGAATGCAACTGAGTGGACTGTGATGCGGATACAGACTTAGTCTTGGCTCTTAAATGGGAATAGAGCTGACTTAATACAATCAGTATCAGAACACCTCTCTTATGTCTGTGCCAGCAATAGCTGTTGTGTCCTCAGTTGATCCAACAGCTGTTTCCCTTGACATTCTTGACTTCACCAAATCAGAATTAGTCTGGGTAGGGAGGTTTTTCAGATTTCCATGAAAACAGCAGGAAGTAGAGAATGCATCATATGGCAGTGAGTCTGGCAAAAAGCATGACATGCCTTGTTACAAATAATAGAATGTGGCATCTTCAGTATATTTTTTTATTTTAAATAAATAAAGGGCAAGTTGTTTTTAGTCTTTTTTTTAAATGCAAAATGGAACTTTTCTTCACTTACCTGAATTTGTTTGGGGTTATTAATCTCCAATTGCTCCATATCCCTATTTCCCCTTTTCCACAATTTTCAACAAAATAAAAATGGATTTATCCCTATTTTTTAAATCAATATTTTTTTTACATTCCAATATTTTATGTTATTTTATTTTCTCTTGTGATAAATCAGTGAGGTGTCTTGAAGAATGAAAGCTCAAATCCCCCAACTCTCATGAAATTCCATGGATAATCTTGGCCTTCTCTTTCTCTCTCTCCACCATTTATATCACAAAATGTTATTTTAAGATCAGAATGGAAAAGCCTCCCAAGTATATCTCAATACTGATCCTTTTTCAATGCCATATACAGTATATGCTTTAGATTAGATTAATACAGTCAACTGTGGTAAAGAGAGCAGGAAAAGGCCTCATCATAAACTAGAGAGAAGAGGGCAGATTGCAATCAACTTCTAGACTATTCAATCAGCAGTTTATTATTATTATTGGAGTAAATAATCCTATCTCTCAGATAAAACACATACCCATCTTTTCTTTTAAATTCCTCAAATGTTCTGGACATGGTGAAACATGTTTAATTTGAAGAGAATAATATAACAAGAACTTGATAGCACTCTTCTAATATTTGAAAGATTATCACATAGAAGGCAGCAAATATTTGTTTTGGTTGCCATAAAAAGGGCATATTTTTAGTTGTACATTAGAAACAAATTGTTCTATTAAGAATAGGTAAAAAATTAAACAAATTACTTAGAAGATTGGTGGTCAGAGACTGGGCAATCTAAAAAGCGCTCTTGTTCTGAATGTCATGCATTGTGCTAAAATTTGGACTAGAAGCTTTACAAGTCTTTGCCTACTTATGATACATACATCCTTTCTACTTAGAATAACTGCTGTTCAGTGAGGCATCTCAACCAATCTCATTAAATGCATACAACCAATACAAATCACACTGGGTATCTTTATCACCCTTTCCACTTCGTAATCACAACACGATAGAGAAAGTGTATATCATAGGCAATAGCTTGGCTACAAAATCACTTGCAAACTTTTGACAAAACAATTTTTTTGTTGTTTGTCCATCATAGACTATTGCTTTAAAAGTCAGAAACCATCACTTACTGAGATGTCAAATTAAGAATACGTACAGTGGGGCAAAAAAGTATTTAGTCAGCCACCAATTGTGCAAGTTCTCCCACTTAAAAAGATGAGAGAGGCCTGTAATTTTCATCATAGGTATATCTCAACTATGACGTACAGTGGGGCAAAAAAGTATTTAGTCAGCCACCAATTGTGCAAGTTCTCCCACTTAAAAAGATGAGAGAGGCCTGTAATTTTCATCATAGGTATACCTCAACTATGAGAGACAAAATGAGAAAAAAAAATCCAGAAAATCACATTGTCTGATTTTTAAAGAATTTATTTGCAAATCATGGTGGAAAATAAGTATTTGGTCAATATCAAAAACGTACAGTGGGGCAAAAAAGTATTTAGTCAGCCACCAATTGTGCAAGTTCTCCCACTTAAAAAGATGAGAGAGGCCTGTAATTTTCATCATAGGTATACCTCAACTATGAGAGACAAAATGAGAAAAAAAAATCCAGAAAATCACATTGTCTGATTTTTAAAGAATTTATTTGCAAATCATGGTGGAAAATAAGTATTTGGTCAATATCAAAAACGTACAGTGGGGCAAAAAAGTATTTAGTCAGCCACCAATTGTGCAAGTTCTCCCACTTAAAAAGATGAGAGAGGCCTGTAATTTTCATCATAGGTATACCTCAACTATGAGAGACAAAATGAGAAAAAAAAATCCAGAAAATCACATTGTCTGATTTTTAAAGAATTTATTTGCAAATCATGGTGGAAAATAAGTATTTGGTCAATATCAAAAACGTACAGTGGGGCAAAAAAGTATTTAGTCAGCCACCAATTGTGCAAGTTCTCCCACTTAAAAAGATGAGAGAGGCCTGTAATTTTCATCATAGGTATACCTCAACTATGAGAGACAAAATGAGAAAAAAAAATCCAGAAAATCACATTGTCTGATTTTTAAAGAATTTATTTGCAAATCATGGTGGAAAATAAGTATTTGGTCAATATCAAAATTCACACCAAGCTGCTTGCCTATTGCAGATTCAGTCTTCTACCTATGATGAAAATTACAGGCCTCTCTCATCTTTTTAAGTGGGAGAACTTGCACAATTGGTGGCTGACTAAATACTTTTTTGCCCCACTGTATGTGAATATACGCAAAACTCATTGTACCTTACAACAAAACAAGAGTTCTAAAACACTGTTTATGTCAGTTAATCCCTAGAAAATAGCCAGTTCAGGAACATAGTCCTTAAGGTAATTATACATAGGAACTAGATTGGACATAGATCAAAGCAAAAACTGTAGGCATACATAAAGGCTACAGTCCCTCAGAGTGAACTCTCAAGACACTTTATTAGAATAATATTAACAATCACTAGGAAGGCAAAAATACGCAATGTTCTGCCACTAGTATAAATGCCTAAGAAAGTAAGAAGAATTGATAGAATAGATCCCTATAATTCAATAACGGGCTATTGGTTGCTCCACTTTCAATAGAACTATTTTTCCAGGACAGGGAAGACAGACATCATGAACATCTTAGTTACACATTATTAACCACCATTTGCTGCACTGAATTTGTAGAAATGCTAGGCTTCAGCTTTCACAAAATGCAAAGGCAGCAAAAGCAGTGGTTGGCCCTTCCACTCTTTCTAGCATGTGTCATGCCCAAGATACAGCCTGAAGACAGTAAGTTAGTCATCTAGGATGACTTTGGATTCAGTGCAATGGGTGTATCTGCATCTGCTGCCTGTTCAGCTGTTCTATACAGCCCTCTTCTGTATTGGGTATAGAAGAAATGCCAAATGCCACACAACTGTAATTACTTCAAATAAATACAGAAGCAAACATATTTTAAGTCAGAAAGTGATTTGCAGAACTTGCATGATCAATGGCATGCAATTATCATATTTTTTAAGAATCATTACTGCCAAATGGACTGCATGTACCAGCTCCTTGTTTCGGCGTCTAGCATCAACTTATAAAGTATTGCTCAATATTTGCACAAAGATCAGATCTTCAACTGGTATAAAGTGGTAGCACATAGTATTGTGACACTGATTTTTATTAATTGAGGATCTCGGACAAATCTTTGCAAAGGTACCAAGTAATCCTGTAAGATACAGAAGGAAGAATCAAAGGTATATACAAGATGAAAGATACACATATCTAATTACATTTGTAGGTTCAGTGTTTCAGAAAAAAAATATTGTAGAACTCCTTGAAATGGGTGATTATGTAAACACACTATTGGCTAGAAGCTATTTCTTAGGTATGGACTAATTTGTTGATAGAAGCACGCATAATGATTGACTACCAGAAAAACTCATTCTAAAAAGATAGTCAAACAGTTTTCTTTTTGGTTTATAGTAGCCCTTATAAAAAACATGGACACCGCAGGACCAGAAGGTGACTACATATTTGTAGTTTCAATGCCAAAATGTCACAGGATTTCCTAAAGACTATTACAGTGGTGCAGAAGTACCAGTAATAAAAATTCAGAAAGAAAAGAACATTTACAAAAAATACAAAGGAGGCCTGCTTAACATGAAGGTCCCACACCTAATGAAGCACCAATATTAGTAATATTAAGATTTCTTCTCCCTTTGCTGATAAAAGAAGAGGTGGAATAAGAGAAAGTCCAAGACCAAACCAAGTCTGATGTAAGAGATTTAATAACAGAGAAAGTACTCATCCTTCCATACTAGGGCATCCCCCACCTTCCTAAAAGCTATCCCCCCATTTAAGATTAGATATATATGGAAGCACAGAGATTTAAGCATTGAGGGGTGGGGTGGATCAGCCCCATTTATTTTTCAATGACATTATCAGTAGGAAAAAGAAAAGAAACAATAACACCAAGAGAGTTCCTGCATTTCATAGCTGATATTCTCAGTAGCAAGTTGTTTCTAATGAAAAAGATGGGGGGAAGAAAAAGGTAGATTTAATATTATACTACTCTTAATTTCTGGCAGTCTCATCCTCTGCCAAAGAGACTTCCAGAGATGCTAAAAGCTTCCTTAAGAATTCCCATAGCAACTTGGGTGATTAGGGTGGCTCGTGTCACCATCAAATTCTGTTGCTAATTGCAGCCACATGGAAGTTAAATTTGAGATATGAACAAGTATATATGAATCCACTGATATTCAACCCCAAAACTGAAGAGTTAGCAGCTTCCATTACAGAGGATTTAAAGGCCATTGCTAAGTCACTAACCACAAAGATTCTGAACAATATAACAAGTTATAAAAAATTCCATCTGTGCTCTGCATGTTTCTCAGCCAAGCTTGGGCTGCCTTAACCTTAGAAGGTTAAACTACTCAAAGAAGTTCATATGGTGAAATATTTTAAAATAAAACAAAATTTCAGGAAGATTTTGAAACAGATGCCCAGATTTCAAATTCTAGAGTGCTAGAAGTATTCCACTAATGCTACTTCTGTACGGGCAATATTTTTCTGACACTATGTGCATGCAATATAGGGATAGCAAAACCAGCAACTGCTAACAGCTCACATTGGCAAGGATTATCCTTTGTGGCTCAACATGGACAAAGAGGACTTTCTCTTATTTCAGTTTGTTAATAAAACCCTACTCAGTCTTTGCCATGCAGGCCTGAACAAGACACCTGCGTGCAAACAGTATCTTTAGTTGTAATCCAATTATATTTAAGGGAAACAGAAATATGTTTAGAATATATATACTCTGTAATACAAAAGGAGAAATGTAACACACTCCTTCCTACCTTCAAATATATTAAAGGTAAAATATTATTTTGTTTTTATTTTATTTTGCTGATCAGCAGAGTGGCACGTTACTGTTTCCACATCTATTATAGCTACAAAGTAAATGTATTTTCTCTCTAAGGCACTTAGATGTCTCAAATTCTGTGGTTTTAATGATTGGGTTTTCTCTCTGTTTTTATTCAACTCTACTTGCTTTGTTCTTTAAAAAATGGTGAAAACCATCAGTAAAGACACATTGCCATACATTCTAAGATAGGTGACTAACGTGAAAATGTACAGTAGCGTATGTTTATAAAAAAAAAATCCAGACAAAGAAGAGTTTTGTTGTAACTATGAACAGTCGGTATGTCTACGACCACAAGAGGACCAATGATCGCAGCTGGAGAAAGGCATCCCATATCAGTCACAAAGGGAAGCCGATATGACTGCTGAACAGTAGCAAAGATGGCAGAGAAGACAATATTTCCTGCACAATGGGTTACAATGGGATGAGCAAAGGGACTGCATGTTCTTGATTTGTGGGGGTGGAGGGAAGAAGGCTTCAATGGGGTGGGGTTTCCTTATTGCTTATCAACAGCTCCTTGTTCAGCAGAGCTTTCCTTGTTGGTGGTCTGTGCATGCCAAGGGGTTTCTTTAAAAACAAACCAGCAGTTTCCAGCCCAAAGTATAAAGTTGACAAAACCAAACAGCTGAGGAAGAAAGGGAGAAGTGCGTAGTTAATACAAAGCACTCATCAGTGAACTCTGAGCACATATATAAAGTCAGTTCAGTACTCTTCAATGCCCTCTTGTTCAGATTTTCGCAGTGATTAAAGAACAGAAAAATAACAATCTTTCACTGATTTATGCATGTTTATGTGCAGTGGCAATACTTTCTCATATTTATGATTGTGAGATCCAAAGTCATAGTTGAACATAATTTTGAAATCGGCATGTCCATTACAAAATTATACAGCCTTGATCGAGTGCGCTGTCTATTTGTCTGCTCATTAACCACTGAAGAATAAATTCAGTAGTAACCTAAGTAGAAGATAGTGCTGAAATTAGAGGAACTGCCATTACTCCTCATATGTGCATTTCAGTAACAATGACTGCATTCAGTAGAACATAAACCGCACAGAGTTTGGGGCCAGGGACCAGTATGCTTCCATATGAACCTGATAACAAGCAGTCCTCCTTGATCTTCTCTTCTTCCTTGGAGAGCAGTAATGTATCTTAAATTCCTTCCCAAGGGATGTATGTACTGGGGAGAGTGTTAAAAACATACCTCTTCCAAGTGACATTTTAACTGTTATGTTTTTATTAGGCATGTTTGTATTGATGGCTAAGGATCTACAAATAATTTTTATCGCCTGAGTTTTATTTCAAATGCATTGCTGATTTTCAATATTTCCTTTTAAATGTTAAAAGACTATGTTTTAAAATGTAGTACTTTAGATATATGTTATTACATTTGTATACTTAGGCTGTTCTTTGTTCTACTTTAACCATTACGATTCACCTTTCTGTTATAAGCAGCTGCTTGTTGCAGCAAACTTAAAGGGAAGTTTCTGTTTGTAAAGGCAATTGTGTTTGCCCACCCTCTTTCATGACATGATTTCAGAGTTACTTGAGATGTTCTTATTCTGAAGAATAAAGCTTAACAGCCTGCCCCTCTCGGTTGTCAGAATGGCTGTGATTTAGTGAAGGAAACAGAATGAAACCACACTGGCCACAGTGCAGCCAAAATCCCCATCCTCTCTCTCCCAATCGATACAGCATTACTTCCGGGCAACTCTTACCACAGAGATGTTGGCCAAACCCATAGAAGGGGTGGCCCCAGCGTTGCACACTGCGCTTTTGAGTTGACACACTGACATGGCTGCAATGAGGCTGGAAGGCCGTGTAGCTCCTTTCACATCTGACAGACCCTTGCCCCAAGCTGAAAATGCCACTAGCCAAAAAAAGGTAAATGACACAGTCACGCAGAAGTCCTAAATGGAGGACAAAAACAAAAACAACAACAAAAAAAGAGTCATGGTTAGTATAACTCCATGTCAGTAACTCCATTCTGCTACAGAGAGAGCCATCCTTTCATCCAAAATACCCATGCCCAAATGAGGGGGCGGTTCATTTATTTTAATCAGGCAGTTTATTGTGTCACATTATTTGTAAGACAACAATGACCACATCCACTCTATATGTAAGTGAGGTTCACACAGTCAAGATGTGGTTTGTTTGCTGCTGTCTCAGCCATTAGCGGTGGTTCTTAACCAATTGTGGCTTATTCAACAAACCATGGATAAGTAAAACCAGGCTAAGTGCACTATATGAATCAGGTGATAATACAGTTGCATAGGTTGGTTCTTCTTGTGCTAGCACTCCAAGGTCAAGAAGAATACAAAATAGAGAGGGCAGGACTTCCCAACTGGATAAATAAATGCATGTAGTGAAGCCGTGTACATTTTTTCTCAGATTTCATACTGAGAAATGCTGGAGTTTTTAATGGCGTTTACTCTAAGCTAATTGCATTTGTACAGAACTGGTTCTATGATGCAGGACTTGAAAGCTAAGGAGTTGAAAACCAAACTGAGATCTTACCGCAAAAGGTAGCCTCTTATTCTCATTATAGAGGGAGTGAAATCGTAGATATATTACAAGAGCTGCCATAGTATAAAGAAAAGAAAAAACACCCAAGGTCACAAAGAATTCAGCTGGTGCAGAAAAGTCTCCCATGAGATGCAGCACTCTTTTAGCAGTCGATCCTTCAATACAATCTGGCATATCAAATGGGATCTTATACAACCTAGTCAAATTGAAAAAGAGAGCAAGAGAAACAGCTTCAGTTTAATTTGAGTATTTAGTGCAGAAGAATTAGGCTACAGGACATCTCTGACATCTAGAAATCTGCTTGGAGGAAAATATGTTTGCCTTATTCCCACCTCTGTTAAAATGTATTTTGCAGGTTTTAAACATTTTTCTTACAGATGAAAGTGAGAAGTCCTGAGCAGCAAACACCTTTTTAAAACAGCTCTCTGAAAGAAACTTCTGAACAACAGTTTGGCTCCAAATTTTATGAAACTGACTGAGAACAACCTATCTAGATCTGTTTATCATACATCCATCTAAGACTCTATGACAACCCAAGCTTTCTTTATCTAGTTTGCCTTAACAGTGCAAAATTCTTTTGCCTTTGAGGTGCAAAATTCTTCAGCCCTGATCTATGAGAATATGCATGGATGACTCTTTTCCCTAAAAATGAGTGATACTGAGTTTGTTTGTTTGTTTATACATGGACTTATCCCCGCCCATCT